TTTCAAACACCGTGCCAAAGAGGCAGGCGCCAAAGGCAAGAACGCAAAGCCGGAGAAGTCAGGGAAGGGACAGGGCGAGAGTGAATCGGACTCGAGCGACGATGGGGATTCCAAGAATGCATCATTGGCCAATGGTGGATCCCAGGACCTTTAGTATGTGCACAACTTTGATTGCAATGGGTTTCCTGTAGCTATGGTGCTAGCTGACATCAAACATCCTCAGATTTCAAAATCCAGGAATTGAAAGATTTGAAGAAATTGGGCGACTCTTTGTTGAGTAGATCCTCAAAGCTGAGCGAGCTTGTCTCCAAGCTGGGAGCTGCATCCACTGAAAAAGAAGAGAAGCGTGTGGAGAAGTGGGGGGGCTTGGGGATCTTAAACGTCCAGTCTGCCTTGAAACTCCATACATCCCATTTCGCCTCAGGACAGTCGTTGGCATTGAGCGAGCCATCGAAATCCTGGAGCAGGAGTTTGAGAACATCGAGGGTGTAAAAGCGGATGTCAGTGAGCTCTCAGATAAAAAGCTCGATTCCAGCAAAAGGTCTGAGTGTAAGGCTTAGCTCCTTGATGTTTGCTAAATACTTCAACATCTTTCTGGACAATATATTTTATTGGGGCCCAGGCTCATCAAGAAAGTAGAAGCCCAAATAAAAAGCACCACCCGGGCGTGCTTTGGATTGCATTTAACTGAAAACATAAAGCACCCACTGATACCAAAAGTGTTTGTCGGTGAGGTGCAGCAAGGTGACCACTGCGGACAACGCGGGGAAGAAACTCAGTAGCAACGATGGCTTTGCTTGGCTATTCCTTCAAGGCTAAATGATTTTAGAAAGGCTCTCAGCCTTCCCCTTGGGGGCTTCATGTGCCAGCCCACCCAGGACTCTTTTGAAGTCCCTATTGAAGAAGGAGTGAGTTTGGCATCGTGGCCAACTTGTGGTGTTGGATTCAGAAAAAATCCAACTTTTTGTGGCCAGATATATATCTGGATTGGGTTTGGGGCCAGGTCATTTCTGAATGAAATGACATGGATCTTTCTAGCTATCTCAGCCGTGATGGAGCATGGCAAGGAACGTTTGCAAGAGAAATTCAGCGCTGAATTTGAATCACTAGTCTTTTTTTGGTGGAGCCTGTCTAGTAAACAAATGCTCCAAGTGGCTCTTTGGACATGGCCAGGTCGAAGAGCCAAAGCTGAGCCTGACAATGTGGTGCGGGTGTACGCTCGCATGATCTCGCGGGGGGGTCTGGCACTCAATGATCAACTTTTTTCTTTTTTAGAGATTGTGAGTTTTCATGATTTTTGGATGCCAACAGTCTGAACATTGCGTGCCTAGTAGCCTGTTTGGGGAAGGGCTCTGCATAGCGCACATCGCAAATTTGAAGACTATACTCCATATCAATATAACATGTAGTATCGATACGCTGATTGCTGCTAAACATAGGTAACGAAAGCTTTGAATCACCACCACTTGTTTAGAGCCATGAATGATACCGACGACGATGATGATGATGATTTGCTGAAGCTGCTTCTGACCTATGATTGCCCCATCACTGGTGGCAAAAGAACCGCTGGAGACTCACCGCCGAAAAAAATCCAAAGGTTTCCTGTTTGCAAGAAGGCTGAGATGTCTTCAATATTGACTTTGTGTTGTGTGCTAGCCATCACTAGTCTGCAATCTCTTTTTGAGGATGAACGAAAATGTGGTGGAAGACAAGGAGATGCCAATGGACACTCAACCCAAAGTCTTGCCTCACTCACCCTGTGAAGATCTGTACATGGACTACTTCATGAGGGAATCATTGACTTCCTGCCCTACACCGCTCCGCTCTCATCGGTCCACTGCCAGCTCGAAAGCACATCGGCCCGCAAAAAAACAAACTAAGTGATCCGTGCATGCATCATGAAAGTATATTCTTTTTGTGCCTGGTCCAAGGTAGAGATGCCTGACTATGAAATTCTAGTGAACATGGGTCGGACATTTGCTGCTGAAGTGTTTGATTGGAAGGCGCTGAAAGCGCACCATCTCTTTCACAAGTGCCCTGCCAATGACAAAATGATTAGTGGCAAATTGTTGGCCCATTGCCGCAATCAAGTCGTTGCTTTTAGGGAAGCAATTGGTTCGCCCTGTTGCTTCAAGATTGGTATAACAACAAATCCTCCTTTACGCTTTTCTTCGTATGTGAAAAAGAATTTTACTTGCATGTGGGTCATAGCAAATTCGATGAGCTTGGATACAGTGAATATGTTAGAAGCAGGGCTCATAGCCCTGTTTCATAAACTTGTTGGTTGCAAAAATGCTGCTGAAAGCGGCGGAGAGGGTGCACAAAATCGCAAGTGCCCAACCACGGGTCCTTATTTTGTTTATGTAACTGGTGGACGTGCAGACCAAGCTTGCTGGGTTGGGTGATCTTTGTACTCAAAGATCTCAATGACTGGTGTAGACAAAAGTTGAAAAAGTCTGTGCTTGCCATGTGTGTGTGTGCGTGCGCGTGCATGAGTACACATTCCACTCTTGTTACCTTGCCTTTGTTCTACTCAATTGTATGTGCAAGGCAGTGCACCTGCAACTTATATAAACGACTCATGATGTGTGCAATCATGCCAGTGTTCTCTGAGGCCTCTTGTTCGCACGTGGTGGAACTGGCGAAGGAGAACTTTAGGACTTCTAGTCGCCCGGGACCTGCTTTGAGGGACTTTGCCAAGATTGATCCGAAGCATGGTGAGGAAGGCTGCCATAGAGTCTTCCGGAAGTATGGCTATGTTGCTCCAGTGACGACAGAAACCTTGCAGGTTGATGAGGGGTTTCAGGTGCCTTTCATACCCTTTTCCTCATGGGTCCGCTTTTTGTTGGACACGGGGAGGCTGCCTAGACAGCTTTGCGGAGTGAAGAGCATTGCGGCCATGAAGCCTTTGCTGCGTGAGTTTTGGGTCAGGCATGCAGAGCTATGTCCCAATCATGAGATTCATGGTATGGATGTGGACTTGTCTTTGACCCTGCCGGTATATAGCCACACCGATGAAGGAAGAACGTACAAGCATGCTGCTTTGTGGCTCCTGTCAACCCATGGTTGCTTGGGAAGAGGGAGTCAACAATATGTGGATAGCAAGAAGGATGATGATTTGCCAATCAGGCAACGCATGATGGGGCTCAATTTCATTGGCTCTACGTGGGCCACTCAGTTCTTGAGTGGGATTTGCTTGCATGATGCCATGGCAGAACACCCGGAAGCCATGAATGTGATTGTTGGCCGCTACGCAGCTGACATGGCCACGCTTGCCCGTGATGGAATCACCAGCAGTGATGGCAGGCTTCACATCCGTGTGATCCACTTGGCCACCAAAGGTGACCTGCCTGCGTTGAGCAAACTTGGTGGGTTCAAGCGCCACCACAGTCATTGTCCTCGTGGTGCCTCTTCGAAGCGGGCTTGTGTTGGTGTGTGCCATCAGTGCCTAGCTGGCACTGAAGCCACACGTCCAGGTGAAGAAGGATTCCCGTATGAGGATACCTCAGTCAATCCATGTTGGGCAAGAACGATTGGAAGTGTGGATCCTTGGGACAGCGAGCCAGCCATCTTGGCCAATTTACCGGTGGACCATAGCGCGAAGGCAGAATTTTTCAGCACTGATGTGTGGCATTGCTTCCACCTAGGTCTTTCAAAGCACTTCTTTGCTTCAAGCATCGTGTCGATCATTGAGAGGTTGGACATGTTCAGGGGGCTCTCATGGGACAATTCCTTTCGCTGGCTGACTTCGGACTTCAAGGCCTACTGTGCTGCGAACAAGATCCGCCCCTATTTGGATGAAATCTCACGAGAGACACTGTCATTTCCTTCAGGCAATGTTTGCCCAGTAGGCCGCTGGAGCAAGGGAGAAGTAGCTACGCAGTTCATGAAGTACTTGGGATTTTTCTGCCAAAAGTGCATCGATGGGCAAACACATGATGAACTATTGATGACGGTGGTTCCTTGTAGGTACAACTTGGCAGGCTTTGTTGCACCATATATATTTTTTTGTTTGGACAATGTTTGTGACTTTTATCATGTTTTGTGTTGTTTTGAATGGTTGTCGTGGCAGGCAAGCGCAGTGCGTGGCATCAACATGGCCATGAGCTTCATGTATGGAGCTGGGTTCTGGCTAAGCCAGGCTGACAGCCTGCAGCTCTCAAAGTGCTTGAGTTTGTTCCTGCAGGGGTACACAAAGTGTGCCAGGTTGACCCTTCAAGCTGGAAAGCCCAGGTACGCTCTTGTGCCAAAGTTGCACTTTTTGTGCCACCATGCTTATGCCCTACGTGTTCACAGCCAGCGTTGTAGGTGGACTCCAAATCCACTTGCTACGTCAGTTCAGCAGCAGGAGGATTGGATCGGCAGGCCGTCACGGCTTTCACGCCGTGTAAATCCAAGGACTCTCCATTCCAGGGTAGTCCAGAGAAGTTTAATTTGCGCAATGCAAGCTCTAGAAGATGCAGACTCATCATTTTAGAGGGACTTGCCCTCTGTTTGAGCTGTGCATCTGTGAAATGGGGATCAACCACGAAAGATGTGTGTCTGAAACAGTGCGTGTTTGCGCTTGGTGTTGTGGGTGCATGGTGGGAAACCTATGTGCAACATCAATTAATAACATTTAAAGACCAATGTTTGTCAGAATCGATGGTTTCATAATGTTTCATAAAAACACCAAAAAACAGAAGGGGCGTACTTTTTCCAAAGGGGCGTACTTTCTCCAAAGGGGCGTACTCTGATTCGAAAGAAGGGATGGACATATTTTGGAAGGACAAGTGAGATGAAGGTATATAATATGTAATATTATTGTATTATATCTCTTTGATTCTCTTTGTGCCTCTTCATCAAATCCAATCCCAGACACTCCATGTATGCCATATTTGCCAACCTCGGGGTGCATTTGGGGGGGTCTTTCGACCAGGGCGGCATCTCTTCCAGCGACAGGGACGACTCGACCTCCATCGCACCACATCCATCCTCGGCGCCGGAACGCGACCCGCGAGGTGCTCGGCGGCATCTCCAAGACGTCCGAGCTCTTCGCCGATGTGTGGCACTCCGCACGGCCCCTTCGGCGAAGAGAGAGAGAGAGAGAGAGCTGGGATTTGAGGTGAGGATTCGCTAAGTGTATACTGGAAAATGGGACATGACCCTAGGGAGAAGACGGAATTGGAAAACCATGGAAAACCTACGTCAGAGTCAGGAAACCTTTTTGTCATCAGGATACCTGGAAACCTGTAGATGAGACACCAATAATTAGAACCACATATAAAGAAATACAGACGAGGAGGTAGGAGATGACTTTCTTAAAAAGCTGCATTGGACAAAGAAGAAGAAAGAAAATTTTTGAGGCAGGGCCACCTCTTTTTTCCAGAAGTCCGCAGATTCTTGAAGAGCAGACGTCTTCAGTGTTTGCTTGGGCTTGTTTCAGGGCTTCCCTTCTTGGGGTTTCTTTTGGCTTGGTTTAGGGCTGCACTTCTTCAGGGTTTCTTTGGGCTTAGTTTAGGATGTCATTGCTTCATGGTTTCCTTGGCATTAGTGCGGCATGTTACTTCTTTACGATTGCTTTGGGTTTGGGCTTCACTTCTGTAGGGCTTCTTTGGACGTCATGTCTTTTGGCTTGGTTTCGGGCTTCACTTTTTTAGGGATGTGTTCTTCTTCTTTTGGTTTGGGGCTTCACTTCTTGTGACCAACCAGGGTCCCCAATGTTTTTTGAAAGAGGGTGATCCTGTTCGGGGGAGTCAGGAGACAGAGCGCCAAGATCCGTTGGCTCGTTGGTTGCGACTGCGTTGCTGGGATGTTTCATGCGTGGCGACAGTGCACTTCCGGCATGAGCTTCCGGACGTGGGCATCAGCTGGCTCCAGAAGGCAAACATGCATTCTTATGCATTTTTGACCGAAGCCATCTTGCTTGGCCATGAACTCACGCTGTTTAGTGGCGCAAAAAGCTCGTTCGTGGATATGATACGCTCCTGGGCTATGGGTTTTGTGCTATGCAAAGCACCGTGAGTGGAGACTGTACAAACTACGGCCAAATGCTCCCTTTGGGCGGGCACGTGGGGTTCAACCCTGATGAGGACTTCATAGGACGCGTGTTCAGATTGAATAGGACTTGTCATCCACTTACAGGCTCCATCCGGACCATGGAGAAGGCTCTTCCATTGTACAGAATCTGGCGAAGGTCTTGGCGTTGAAAAGCTGTTGAGGAGCTTGATGAAGATGCCAATGCCGTGTGCATGAGCTGTGCTGGATTGTCATGCGCCGGGTGGACACGGAAAAACACCTCGACCGCGACCTGTTTTCAATGAATCACACATCAAGCGAACAAATGTATCCAATTCGACTACTTCACTTGATCTTTGGAATGAAACACCCGCAAAGACAGATTCGACCAAAGCGGCTAAGATTTCTTACTTAGTTTGTTGAATCTTCTGGTGTATATATACATCCGTACGGATTGGAAACCGTACCCTTTTTTGCCTGTTCTCATGTCAAATTCATTGGTAAGCGCAGTGCTTTGTCATGCGTTTTGCCTAAATAAAAAATGTTTTTTTTTCGCGACACCTCAAGTTGCCTGCTTTTTGTGTATCTAGCTGTCCCCAGTCAGGCTCCGTGTGCAAGTCTTTTTCATCGATGCCATTGTCGAGCAAATCAGCGGCGGCGCACCCATCCGACATGGAGCCGCTACAACTACGCAACAAACGCCAACTCAACACCAACAGTCACCAACAGAAAAGGACTTAGTTTATGTTTTTCGAAAAAGAAAACCTCAACCACACATTGCACCAAAGTGTGAACAACGAAAAACGAGTTTCTAACACCTGCTCCCAGTTTACCCAGCCACGATCTGAACCCAAACCTGTTTCGTGAACAAAAGCAACTCAAGGGTCAGAACAATCACGAGTTAAGCCGTCTACGTACTGTTCTAAAGAAAAAGGGCTGACGCACCACAAAGGAAGAAAACACAAAAACGAGGAGGACAAGGAACACCCGACAACCGAAACAACAAAACTAAAGCACACACCGTGGCTACGTCTTGAGCCTTCATGCTCATGAGACGTATGTGAAAACAAGAACGAAATTACAGCACCCCCCCCCATGTTTTCTGTTTTTGGGCCCCCATTTACGCTATTGCTTCAACTTGGTTACAGTATCTTGCGATATGCTCTTACGCAATGCATTGACATGCCAGAACATTTGGCTCAAGGTATGTGCGTGTGAAAACAGCCGCTCGATCGCCTTCGCCCACTCGCTCTTGTGAACCTTGTTGGACTGTGAGTTGAATCCAGGGATACTATACATTACACGCTCCACTGCGGGGAATTTGACCCTCACCCCACCCCCCCGCCCCCCCCCAACACCATGCGATGACATGACCAAGCGTCGTGGAGTCCAAAAATGTCAGAAAAGTGGGTCCGGTTTTCAGTCCCTAGGCATATACATGGAACCAGAATTGCCATAAATATGGTGCACACAAACCCAATTACTTTGGTCGACCTTTCTTGGGGACCAATTTTTGTGCAATACTAACTGCCTTTCTTCTGCGTCTTCAACACCTTTAGCTTCACCTTTCCTCATGAAGGAAAAATGTCAAGGTGATTTCTCATCATGAAAAAGCTTGGTCTGGGTGACCAGTGACCTCTAATGATTAGCAACCACACTTGCCAAAAGAGTCCTGACCTTCTGACACCCCTAAGTAAGAAGTATATGTAAAATCATCGCTAAAATCGAACCCTGGCATTTTCATGGACCTTTCGATTCTTCTAGTCTCAGGACATGCTCTGACCATGTGGACTGCTCGGGCGACACGTCCGGGAGCCCACCGGACACGGGTGTGGTTCCACCGGGCACGGGCACGGCATGCCGAATGGCCTCCAACCTCGTACAGATCTGGGAGACAGGCGCGAATTTGATTTTCTCTGTGGGGTGAAATTGAATCATTTGAAGGCAGACTTCTATTGCTGACCATGCTTTCCACGGTCCGATGGAATACAAGTCAGACCTGAAAACACGTCCGCGCTCGTCAGCGCCTCACGCGTCACGCCTGACCTGGAGCTCGTCAGTGACGGAGAGGAGTCGAGTCGACCAACGTCAACCGGAGCCCTTCATCGTGGTGCGTCGCCAGAGATGTTTTTTTAAGGACAAGATCCATTTGGATGTAGAGCTGACGATCTTGGTAGCAATGCAGTAATCAGTCAGGCGGTTTTATGCAGTGTTCTGGGTTTCTTTTGGATGTACAAGACACAGACAGACGGCAGAGGCCTGTTTGCCGCGATGGTACCTCCGAACACTTTGAAGGCCGGCGGTGGGAACTCGAGCTGGAGCAAGCTTCAAAAAAACATGCATCATTTCCTGGGTGAAGTGACTCTCCAAAGTGAAATGGCCTTCCCAAACAATGTGCACTTTTTCCCTCAATACACTCAATTCCAGAAAAATTCCACAAAAGCCGGTATACGGTAGATATCACAGAGTTTCCAAGTTCTGACTCCTCTTCACCCCAGTGGGGGGAAGCCCACCGTCACGACCAGCTGGGTTTAGAAGATCAACATCACTGGATGGGACTCCCCAAAACATGAAGGGTGAAGGAGCATTGTGGATTCTGATCCGAGACGTGGGATGTGGCAAAATCACTGGACCTGTCACGTGGGATGTGGTTTTCAGCGAGCATCGAAACGCTTCGAACGTGGTGGACGCTCGGATGTCCTGCGCGGCGCTGAGGGAGGGTGATGTGGAGACAGGAGAGACGTAGGAAGAGGCTGCCAGTTTACCACAGAGTCCTGGAGCAGGTCAGGTTGTTGGTTGAAATCATTGATGTTCCGTAGGGAGAACTTCATTATTGATGTGTTTCGTATCATCATCGTATTTACCTGTGACAGTCGGCAAACATTTTCACTATTTTAGAGAAAGGCCGTTACTAACCATCACCCTTACAGGGATTAGGATAGATACCCAACATCTAGCTAGCTGCTCTCTTTTGACTCTCTTCCAGCTCCCACAGCATCTCTTCCATCTCTTTCCCTACTAATCCATCTCTTCGCATCTCTTCGCCTCGTCTCCCCGGACCCAGTGCGCTTCGTCGCGCTGGCGCTTTCGAGCCGCCGATCCTCCGCAGGCGCCACGCGGCCGGTCTGCGTGGGGATCTGCGATCGGCGGATCTTCGACGACTGCGGAGCGAAGGACGTGGGAGGGGGGGGAAAGAAGGGGGATCAACAAGGTGGGGAACAGCGCCCCCTTCGGTTTTTGGGGAAGGTTTGGGGGGCTCTTTTTTGCTTGGGGGGGCTTTAAGACGTGGTAGGTGGCACTCTGTTCTTTTTCGATCTGGACCATGATGGATTCAGTGTTTCTGGAAGAGAACACTCGAGGCTACGAAAGAGTGTGTCCGTTTCGGACCAGCCGAACCAGCGCGCAAACATCCCTGCAAGTGTGGCGGCTATGTAGCCTTTTGCACAGGAGGATTGCAAAGTGCAGCATGGCAAGCCAACCTGCCACTTGGACCAGGATGATCACGTCATGCGAGCATCGGCTGGATTGGTTGAAACCTGTTGACACCATCAGGATTTAGCCCAGCGAATTGTGTGCATGAGGAGGGGCCATGCAGAGAGCCAGAAAGTCAGATGTTTTGTATGTTTGAACTCAACATCCTGAACTCTGAACTGTTGGGACCCCTTGCAGACGAGCATGTTTTCTACCAAAGGGTTGGCTCAGATTCCGCCATGTGTTTTTTTTTTGCGAGGGTGCATCCAGGCTGCTGTCCGATCATATTCGGAGGTGGGGGACTTGAAACCTCACGAGGGAATAATATGGTATCCCCAAGTATTAAAAGCAACAGCATTGTCACCAGCTGACATAGGGCAACTGATGGGCAAGCCAAAGAAAAGGATTGAGGATGGCTGTAGTACCAAGCGAACACGTCCCCCAGCATACGACCTGTCGAATTCCACCAACCGATTCATGCGATGGGTGACACTTGGAGCTTTGTTCAGTTCTTCACGCCCCATACCTTTGTACCGACCCTAGCAAGGCTTGTTAGAGGGAGCCCAGCCCTATTGAAGAACACTTGTTTGCTCACCTTCATGTCGGGGTCACCTGGCACCCCTTTTTCAGATCCAGGTAGCGATCCGAAGAGACCTTGCCGGACCTCCAAGAAGTTCGAGTGGCCACGGTAGGCAACAGTATGACAGTATGCCCTTCTTTTCAGTTTGGAGTGGCGTGTTCTTGCCTTCTTGTACGCCTAGAGCTCTGAAATGACGGTTTCTGTTTGGCTATTTGGTTGGACCAAAATAGGTCACAAAGAGTGCTCTAGAGATACCTTCACCCCTTTGGCTCCGCAACCGGTTGAACATCGAATGAAGAGAACCACCAGCCCTCCGCTCGTGGCGCCAAGGTGTGGATCCCTGTGATGACAAGGAGCCCCCCTGAGCGTCGTCAGGGTCAGCGATGAGCGCGCAGACTCAGAGGATTCCCAAAGAGTCCAGAGGATGATTCAGCGGATGTCCATGTGGAATCCTCTTAAAAATCCTCTGGAATCCTCGATGACACATTGTGCCTCATAAAGATTCCAGAGGATTCCAGAATCGATCCTTCATTTCAGGTTTTCAATTGACCAGAGCGTTGCTTAATTTGTTGTGTAGTACTTGGTTTTCAACCAGAGACGCCAGGCGAGTTTGCCTTCTATGATACATGCCAAGATCCTGCCATGACAGGGTCTTCTGAGGTAACGACTGCTGGGACCCATATTCAATGACTTAGAGCTGCCATGGGTCTCCTTCACACGCAGAAACACAGCAAGTTGCGGCTTGCAACTATACCTGGATCACGTTTTGACGGTCAAAGCTTTCCCATCGACAGGATGTCTACCCTCCATGCTATGGAAGTGGACGTCCTGGACCCCTGGAAAGACCATTGTGCTAATTCTGCCATCTCTTATCCACTTGACCTGCCTCTACCACCCTTGGTATGAGTCAATGAGTCATCTTAAAGTTGAGCATCTCACACCTTTTGCAATGGGGTGTTAGACAGATCAATCGTAGTCATCCTCACAAATCACAGAATACGGCTCAATGTTAAGACAGAAACAATAACACATGATATTCGTAGAACATGTACACATGAATTTACTGCATACATACCTATACCTGGAAACTGATTCGGGCTATAATTTTGGCCTGCATGTGACACAGGCTGTTTTTTTTCCAAACTCAGGCTGATTTCCAGAACTCAGGCGAATTTCCAACTTCAGGCGAATTTCATGGAATCTTGCACGTTATCTTCAGCACATGCTTGTTAGCACATCTCAACATGTTTGATCAGATATTTTATCAAAACAGCATTCGTGGGCTGATTTCCAAACTCAGGCAATTGTTTGTAGCAGGCTGAAATTACAGCCTGCACGAGCATCTAGGTAGAAGTAGGGTGTAGCCCATTACCAGTAGCAGCCGGTAAAAGATTATCACTATCTTTGAGAAAGGCCTTTGCTAACCATCATTATCCGTTACTGGTAATGGGATATACCCAAGGTATAAGTACCATATATTCTTGAGTGCAGCAACACCCCAGCACTACGCTCTACACTACGCTCTAAGCACTACGCATCGTCCGGGCTCTACCTCGTTCGACGCATTCGCATTCGCATCGTCCGGTTCGACCCCGGTGGCGCACGGATGGATGCGAAACTGGATCTGTTCTATTTTGTGTTCCTTGTTTCGAGCCCACCTCTAAGGAGAGCGAAGGGTGATTGTTTTTTTAAAATACAGCCCGGCGGAGGTCTGATTTGTTGTTTTGCCCTTCTCATATACTCTAATCTGTACACTTGCCATCAGGATCAAAAAAAAGTACACTTGCCCAATGCGAAGGGAAGAGACCAAAAAGATACAACAGATGCGAAGCTGGACCTTTGGTCACCAGGACTGTGAGAAGGAGCAGGTCTGTGAGGTGGCACCCCGAGACCAGGCCGAGACAACGAACGCCGACGACGAACGGAGTGGGAGGAAGACCCTAGATCTGACTCGTTCACCCAACGAGACCATCCGAAAATCGAAGTGAGGTTCCTATTTTGGGGAGCCCCAAACGTGTTGCTGCTGCTGTTGTTGCTGCTGTTGTCGTTGTTGTTGTTGTTGTTCTTGTTGTTGTTGTTGTTGCTGTTGTTGTTGTTGTTTACATTTTTGTTTATCAGATGTCCCTATTTGATTTGCAAAAATATATTTGGGGATGCACTGGGAACAGCTGATGGGTAGGCCAGATGTTGGACCTTAATAGGTTTGGTCCAGCCTTTTTGGTGGGTTTGGAGGGCTTTCCTGTCCTTTTTGGATTTGTGTCCCGAAGAATCCCGGGCCCGTTCCGCACAACACATAGCGCCGCTTCGGGCCCTTTTCCCCCTGCGTTTCGGTGGAGAAGGTCCGACCCCTGCCCTCAAGGAATTCTTAGGGTTTGAACGGATTTGGGGTGGACCTTGTCGGTTGTTTTATGGGAACAGTCCGGGTAGCGTCCAGCCAGTGTTGCTTGGAGAGGATTGTAACTAACGTCAACAGTCCAGTCCCATTGCTAAGCCGAAACCCTGTGTTCTTTGTCCAGGTCTTTCGCAAGAAGATGCTGCACAGCGCGACGGCCGCTGGGCACAAAGCAAGAGCATGGCTTTTCTTCAAGAGCCCATCAAGTGCAGCATTTTCGGGTTTTGTTCTGTCTTGTGGCGATTCCAACTCCGGAGAACTACTGCTCCTATGTCAGCAACAAATAAGCTGGGTCAGCCATTGGTGTAATTCTGTACAATCCATGGTGATGAACTTATGAAAGACTAGGATAATTCGTGTCCCAGGTGAGTGACCCGCACGAGAAGGTTCCACAAGTCTACATACCTCCTAGGAATGCACTCCTTGTTGAGGTGGAGCAGCAGGACATCTGCATAGCTGACCTTGGCACTGCTGGATATTTAGTGGTATATACGTCCTTCTTGAACTTCTTGTGACAACCAGCCCATCCACCCTAACCTTTTACTTTACTTATAGGCATCTACAGCTACAGGCTACAGCTACAAGCTTATACATGTGATACATGTGTCTACCCTCTATGTGTATAGGATCCCTAACAACTACTGTCCGATTTACCGTTGCTGGTGGCTCACAGTGAGCTGACCGGCCAAGACACCTGAGCCGACCGGGCCCTTTTGGCGGTTGGCCGCGGCCGAGAGCCTGGGTCCCAACGTTCTGAGGGTGTTTCGTTGCAGCTTGTCATGGCAGAACAAACCCTACACCGACTTCGTCGTACCTCCTCAGGTTCGGTACTTGGACCCTCCTGGCACCCGGGCCCCGGTCGTCCCACCTTCGAAACGATTATATGACTGGAGGCCTAGGGAAAGGACCTTTCATCCATTTTCCCGTTTGGGCTCCAGCCGTACCTCCTCAGAAGGGGTAACTCTCCAAACCCACCCCAAACACCTTCTGAGGAAGTACGACTGGAGCCCTACATGTTGATTCCATTTTCCACCTACACCGGGTCGGAGGGATGTTCTGGATCTTCTTTGCAGGGTCTCATCCCATTGTGCCTCGTGCGGAGGCCTACTGCCTCTCCTGCAGCGTGGCCCAAACGAAGGCCTCGTGTGGAGAGCTGCGGCAGTGCCAGTGGAGCACCAAGGACGAGGCAGCTGCGCGACGGATCGCAGTATTGGACGAAGTTGGACTTCATCAATACCCTGATCACTTGCTCCATGCTGAGCCACCAGCAGTGGAAGAAGCCTATAGACTATCCTATAGGTACTCCATGGTACTCCAGTAGTGTCCTGTAAGGTCACTTAACCTCTGTTGGCATTTCTGTAACATCTTCTTGACCTCGACCTCGATCGGCCCGATCGCTGGGTAGACTGGGCAGACCAGTCTCCTTACAAATCGAACCGGGGGTCTCCCTACTTTGAATGAGATGAAGTCGATGAAGACCGCACCGCACCTATGACATCCTATAACTATAACTCCAGTGACCCAACTCCAGGGACCCTCCTGGAACTGCTTAGATGTCGGTCAGCGTTGAGTCACTTGACTGATGAACTCGACCGTCACGCAGTCGACGAACCCTACTGAGCCACCAGGTTGCCGGTGACCGGTCGGGAGTGACACAGAAAAGGTCGAAAAGGTCCTTATTGGTGTGTAGATGGAAGGATTATTGCTATAGGATTATGACCATCCACTGAGAGTATGTCCTGATCACCCATTTCTCCATGAAGTCATCGAAAACGACCTTAGAATCATCCACAAAACAGGTTTGTTTCCACCTGTTTAGGTGTTACCCCGAGACACATCCGACGCGCCGGAGGCTTGTTTGATGAGGCACCTCGACACTGCTGCCGCAGAAATTTCGGGACTCTGGGGGCTGTGGACCAGGGTAGCTAACTGCTGAAGACATTGGACCTGCCGGACATGCAAGACCCTCTGGGATCCTTTAGGCCACATGTGGATCGTTAGGATATGCTTTGCCGCTCGAGCTATCAGATCAAGGTGGTTTGACCTGGAAAAAGAGATTGTGCACGGATGAAGCCTTTTCACAGCGAACGTTAGGTCATTGGCACAGGGGTCGGGTTTACATCCGTAAACCACAAAAGGATCACAGGGGGTCGGTGCTGAGTTCCGGGTGAGCGCTTTTTTCGGCTCCAGAGTGATCATGACCTTGGGCACTGATCATGTTTGGGTAGCATTTGATGAGCAATGACTGAGATCTGTGTGGGACTTATATATTTCATGGGACTGAGAGTGGTAGGTTCTCAAGAATGAAGCGGCATACTATGAAGGGACATGGGTTGAGGATTGAATGCTTTGTGGCTGGAGTTTTGAATCCTATCTTCCATTAGTTGCTCAAAGGAATCACCCTTTGATTTATAGGTGCAACATGGTGCAACACAGGGTGGGTCTTGTATACTTAAAAGAGTCTTTACAGCACTACCCAGGTCGTATCGAAGGACAGGGTGTATACTTCTACTCGTTCCGTACACCACAAAACAACCCTTTGGAGCGCACCGGGGCGATCGAAGCGCATCCGCGAGAATCGCTCAGTCGCGCAAGTGAAGGCGACGTCCGGTCAGTGAAGACGCAGTTTGCCGGCGCCTGTCGCGCCAGCGCACTACAAGCAAACACTCCCTGAAGAAAAACAAGTGGAGTGAGTGAGTGAAAACCACCTGAAATCGGGGCCATCCACCCGACATCGGGGGCGTCCGGACAGGTGTTTGACCCCGTGTCTCGCTGCGCACAGGTGCTCAGTGATGGACAGGGCCCGGTGCAAAGGCAATGACCATTGCAGTTGGAAAGAGGACAAGTGCAGCGACAAGAAGTGAAAAAGAAGAGCCGAAGATGATTACCCAAAGAATGCATTGGTAACTGCATAGTATGATGGTTTAGAACAAATAGAAACCTTGGGGAAGGAAGTGGAGCAAAAAGAACAGATGGACGAATTCTTAATGACCTCGTTTGTCTCTGTGTAGGTTGGCGAGACCTGACAGTACCACCTCGCTGGGATCACCCGCTCAACTGCATTGAGCCCTTCATGTTGGAGCAGACGCCATGGGTACGCTTCAATCGCTAACGCCATACTTGGGAGCTGCTGCTGAAATGTTCTCATCACCTTCTGGCTACTTGGTGGCTGGACCAGGTTACCAGGTCCATGATTCGAGTGTCCACTCCTCCAGGCCACTTGTAGGATCACCAGGCCACTTGTACTGATCACCATCGTGTTCAAAACTGTGTATTCTTGGCAGAGATTGTTTGATTCACCAACTTTGCATGATTCTTGCATGCCGCTTGGCGGCATGCCGCCAGCATGAAAAGTGCCAAGATGATCAATGCCGGTCGTCAATCATGAAGAGTGCTTTTTTTTCCAGCTGCATGGCTATAGGCTATAGGTATATATATATACACACTTTGGGTCAATGGTAATTTGGAATGTTCAGGGTGGAACCGGTTCGCTGGATTCGCGGTTCCGGTTCGCGGTTCCGGTTCGCTTTCAGAACCTCCATGGATATTTTTGGCTCAAGTTCGTAGGTTCTTTTAGCTGTCGTCAATGCAGACATGGTGATTGAAGAGGATCAACGTTCGGTCCATGTCCCCCTCCATTGCTATTGGCATGTTTTGTCCACGAACAACTGAAACAGAGTCCTTCGCTGCTGCAGAGTCCTTTGCTGCTTGTGACACTGATCACCCAGATGATCAATTGATGTTTGGGCCCATCTCGAAAGACATCCACAATCAGCTCAGCCATTGATAAAGCTCTTATCCAGTAAACCTCACTTCACATTGACCATGCTTTCCTTGCAAAGCCCGAGGACATCGCATGGCCAGGCGCATATGACATGGGATGATAAGGATACAATTCGCCATGGCCAGGCGTTGTTTTTGTGTGGGTGTACTCTCGTTGGATCTTGTTGGTTCTGTGGTTGTGAGGTTAGCCTCAAAAGGAGTTCTTTGGAGATTGTGCCTATAGGATTAACCAGTCCGAAGGCGATTCTGCGACCCAAGACCTATCCAAACCTCCCATGGAATTGTCCTCATTTTGGGAGGTTGAAGATCCCCCAAACATCCCCAAACCCTTTTCCTCTAATTCAATCATTTCCTCCGTGCTTTCAGTTCTCAGTCAGCTTCTGGCTTGGCCTGCCTTGACTGTGACAGGCCTCCGTTGAGCAGCATCGGAGGCGAAGATTGGGACCTGGATTTGCCTCCTCGGCAGGCGGTCTCACGACTGGTGGCAGGCGGGAGGTCAGTGGCGTGCGCGGTGGGTTTCAGGGGAAGATCTGGGTTTTGAGGTTTAGGAGACTTGAGGAATTAACAAACTGGATCGTGGAAGACCATCTACAAGATCTACTGTGGGTAGCCTTGAGAGTGCTGAAGTTCTTTTGGGGAATAGCACTATTTTGGAGGCTTCGGCCTCGTGTGTGAACGGGCCTTCTTTGTGCACGTTTGCAGGTGACTTGTTTGTGCACGTTTGTTGTTTGTCCACTCTTTGCTGACTGTTTAACTTTCGTTCAAAGGTAATATCTTGTCTCGTTCATAGAGAAAAAACTGGCGCGAGTGTTGGGTTGAGTTGCGTGTGACTCTACCCGGATATTCCTCAAGGCTTGTAGGCCCAGATGCTGCATCTAGAGTGGCCTTGGCAAGTCTCAACCTCTTGTGAGCCATGCTGTAAGATGCCATGAACTGTGCCGCGTGCTGTGTGGCATTGAATGAAATTGCACTGCCCCCCACCCCCATACCTGACAGAGGATGAGGTACTCAAGAGCGACGTGTGCACGGATGAGACATGAGTGTGTGTGTGTGTGTGTTCGCTGATGAGGTCTGTGCACTGTGCGCACAGTGCACAAATGAGTCCCCAACCCCTTTGGAAGTGAAGAAAATGGTTTGCTTGATTCCCAAAGCAAGTCAAGTAGCTGGCAGGGTCAATTTAGGAGAAAACATCTGAGTTGATCGGATGTACGTAATGTGTATATACTATGTGTTTTGATATTTTGACAGGCTTTGCACACCGAGGAAGAAGAACAGGAAGGAGAACAAGAGGATAACTCGCACCACTGGCAATTGAAAACGACTTCCAACCCATCAGCATGAAAACGCACTTCAAAAACCACCAAAAATTGTCAGCGCAGAACACACTGTAAATATGCAGTCATTCCGCGGTCGACGGCTGGGCGTCGATCCTTTAACCATCGCTTAAGACCGAAGTCGGGCCAGCAGGCCCTGTTGATCGCCAAAAGCCCAGGCCGAAGGCCTCTACCTTTTGGGTAGTAGGGTGTCCGCCCCCAGCTGCCGACCATGTTCAGTTCCCCCGGCCGGGGGAGAGCGTCGAGAGAGGCACGTTTGTGATATGAGGTTCGATGGATCAACATAAACACGGGAGGCCCCAAATGGCATCAACACGACTATTTTCTGCCGGATATGCTGCCCAAGTGGCTTTGCATTATCAGCAATTTATGCTCCTGTGCCGGAAAAGAGCAATAACAACGACAACCACAAGAACAACAACAACTAACAACACAACTACTACAACAACAACAACTACTACTACTACTACTCCTACTCCTACTCCTCTACTCCTACTCCTCCTGCTGCTCCTGCTCCTGCTACTGACTGCTACTGCTACTGCTACCACCACCACTACTACTACTCCTGCTGCTGCTGCTGCCGCTGGTGCTACAGCTACTGCTACTGCTACAACAACAAGAACAACAAAAACCACAACAGCAACAAGAACAACCACAGCAACAACAACAACAACAACAACAGCAGCAGCAGCAACAGCAACAGCCACACTAGACCAGCGACCACGACAACAACAGCAGCAGCAGCAGCAGCAACAGCAACAACAACAACAACAATACGCAGCTTCTGATCGTGGGCCTGGGCATCAGCCCCTCAAATCCGTCCATGACTGCTGCAAAAAACAGGCGATTTCCCCTTCCATGTTCATTTCAGGGAGCGTCACGCCAACAAATTTATAAGGTTGCTAGGTGTTGTCACACACATGAGTGGAAGAATGAATGGCAGGTCCACCCCAATGAGCATCCACCCGACTTGGTTTAGGAGCTGGACAGCCTTTTGTTGCCACTCAGGGAGGGGTCTGTGATGACGCGTAGGCGTGGGGAGGAATGACATGAGAACCTCTCACAAATCCAATGCATCCGTCGACCCCGCACGGCCTCAATCCAAAGGGCGCGTGGCCTGTGTCCAAAGGGGTCCGGGACAGTCAGGGAGGAGTCGAACCCGGGGCCAAATCCTGGGCAATGCTTTTCCCTTTAATAAATCTTGACGGTCACCCACGAGAAAACATTTGTCGAATTTTGGCAGATTTTGTCAATGTGACGGCGGCGTGACATCGCCCACCGCCACGCTCACGTTCATCGGCCTAGACTGGCGGATTTGTGGTGCCGTGAGACAGAGAATAAGCTCTTCCTGCACAAGAAATGCAAAAATTAAGTACGTCGGCAGGCCACCCTGCCAAAGATGAAAAGGAACTACCACGCTACCATTGAAACCCTCCCAAATAGCTACTTTTTCGAGCGCTAGCATTTACATGATTGTGCCAGCAAGGACAATGTCGCACCTGAACCCTTTCATTTTGCATCCAACAAGTTCCACTTCTTCAGGGAACATAGACAATCGCACTTTCCCGAACAGAGTAAATCTCCATCTGGCCATAATGGCTTACTTAGAGTTTCCAAAGGTTGCTGGACAAATCCAAATTTTACTCTATGATTCGAAATTTGTGACACCGTGGAGTTGGTGGTGGGACGTGCGTTTCTTTTGGAAGGTGCGATGCGAGAGGGCCGACGAGGCCGGAGTTTGGAAGCACTGGACGAGCTGACGGGCGGCAGTGATGGGGTCATGTTTTGGAGCCCAGATGATGCAAGATGGCGACTCAATCAATCAGGGGAACATTTCCCTGCACTTTGTTTGGATGTCACTGTTTCAAACTTAGATTTTACTATATTTTACTTGTGATTTTGGGCGCTACTTTCCATTTACCATCCCCTGGGACCGCCACATGTTGACAGACATGTTTTTGTATACCTGGTTGTTTGAACAAAAACACCGCAAACTATCTACATGAGAAGACTTGTATCAGCAGCACCGTCGCGGTCGCTCAGATAGTAAACCCCTCTGTGAGTTTAGGTGACTGCTGGCTATCTCTAAGTTCACAGTTCACCAATACCCAAAAATCTGGAGGATTTTCAGGTATTATCAGTTCATGAAACGATTCGGCCAATGTTGGTTCAGGCCCAAACTGGGCAGTGAACCCAAGCCCGCAGCAGCCCCTAGAAACTATGGAAACGCCCCATTCCTGGTCGGAGGGTTTGATGGTTTAGAGACAAGTACCAACATCCGAAGGTGAACCATGGTCCTCGGAGAAGGAACGTTCTCTGTGTCACGACGTGGTCTCAGAGCTGAAACAGCACCAGTTTCTATCGCAGGTGGTGCAGCCTGCAATCTGGAACTGTTACAATCTGTGTCTTTGTAACAGTCATTTCATGTCGTGACTGTCATGTGGTGTCCGACGTGAACTCCTTCCCATAGTCCCAAGGCGCGTTTCCCTAACCACAAGTCCCTAAGATGCCATGGTCTTTTCCTTCTGCCCCACCCGCGCGCTCGTTTTTGGAAGCGGCACACGTATAGCGTTTGGGTGCGGATCGCGGACCGATGAGGTGAAGGACGGCGCTCGCAAAGCCCTCATCCAGGAGAGCGTGTTTGCGTGTTTGCGTGTTTCACCACGAGCATGGGGAAGATCAACCCTTCCGGTTCAAACCCTTCCGTTTGACGAGTGAAAAGCCCGGTGAAAACAGGTGATGTCACCGTCCCCCAGCGTGAACCCCTTTTGCAACCCGTCAACCACCCGGCGAACCGGTGGTTTCTGTCCAATTCGGCGAGATCGGTTTACAGCTGCAGCAGGCAACCTTTTTCGAGCGATTTGTTGACAGAATTGTGTTTCCTTGAGCACTATCACAAGCACAAGATGGACAGGTTAGCACTGGGAGCTTTTTAGGGTGCAGATTGTGAGCTGACATTTTGAGGCCTTGACACGAGGATGCTAAGTTTGACCGCTTTCCTCTTCCCCTGGCCATAGGTTTTTTAGTTTGCACAGCCGCATCTTGTTCTTAGTTCACAGTGTCAAACAACAACCTCCATCAAGCTCCATTTTACCTAGCTTTGGGAAATGAACACCGCAATTTGGTTGTAACCAGTGGCATCTTTCACTGTGACAACTGATGTCCTGGTCGCAATCCATGCTAGAAGTGCAACTACTACCCTGGCATGATTGTGGTTTTAGCGAGCACATATGCTTTTCAGACGCATGCAAATGCACCTTCACTGCATGAGGAGGCACCAATGAGGCATGGAGAAAGGAGTTGGGGCGAGTCCTGGACCAGAACTATTCAGAACTCCCAAGTAAGTGAGACAGTGGCAAGAACTGGACATGTTTTCATCATAGACCATCCATGGGGCTGGTAAATATTGATCTATATACATTCACCTCTGAAATAACCTCTTAGAGATAGCCTTGTCGACAAGTGTTTGCGACCGCGAAGCCTACATTCACCCCTGAAACAACCACCCCAATGTCATGTATTTCAAATGCAAGTTTCGTGGGGCGTGCTTGGGATTCTTCAGGATGACAGAGCTGTTTCACCCGGCTGATTGTTCCTGATGCTGCCTGTTTTCATCCGGAAATTCCGTCCGCTTCGGTTGATTCGGTGGTTTCTAGATGGTTGACAGTTCAGAGCATCCCTGGCAGTGGAGTCAAGCATCCTCGCACAGATGTAGCCTTGCTGGAATGTGGCGAATTGGGATATCTCAGTCAATAAATTGGTGGTCATGTGATGAATTCGAGTTTTGCAACACGAGTGCTGGTCACTTGGGTTTGAGAAAGACAGGAAAGCTCCTTGATGTTCACTATCTCGCCCGGTTCTTTTCAATCTCCGGCTCTCCAGGGTCATTTGCTTTTGGAAATCGCTCCGTGTTGCAGGGGGCATCTTCTCTTAAAGGCTCACTCATGACACGCGGTTGCACGAGGGCTGGGCCGTCTGCAGGCAGCTCCTCCAGTGCCCTTCCAACGTTTGGAGCGGAATGCCAAGCGCCGGCAGATGCAGCAAGCGATGCGCAGCACCGGCTTCAAAGAAGGCCGTTCCTTCCGCGCGAGCGGAGGGTTGCTGAGATCTGTTGGACGGCCTTGAGGCCGGATCCAGACATGGAATAGCTGGGACAGCATTTACCCCATGTCAGATCCATGCATGTAGGTGACTCTTCCATGCATATGATTGGAGTGTTTTTTTGGGGATATGAATCCACATGACTCATGGTCAAAAGATGTCAAAAATCAAAGCCCCCAACAAAGACATGCATGGGGGATTACTCAAGATGACCAGCAAATATGCCAAAGTTACGGCAACCCAATCTTGTATGTTCTTGTATGACCAAAACTATCAAAAAAAGCCCTAGGCTTCCAACCACTTTTTGATTTGATGGTCTGAATCTCGAATATGTTTGGAGTCTAACTACATCATACTACATCTACTTACACTACAACACCAAGCCAACCAAACTCCTTTCATGGTCGAATGGAAGGCCTGGGAAAACAGACTTTGGACATTGAGCCAATGAGTAGCTACACGCCAGGGAATTCCCTTCGCCATGCTCACCAGGGTGCTTCCCCCCCACCTGACTCGCCTCGTGAACTGTGTGTGTGCAGTTTCCAGCAGCAATTGAGGGCTTCAGACATGAACAGTAGGCCTTCCCAGAATATCCCGGTTACCACTGTATAGTATAGGGAACATTAGGGAACCAGAGTTTCGTTCGGTCGGTTTTCGTCTTTGCCAGCTATAATGGTTTGCCTGGTTTTGTTTCAATCGGCATGTTCGCTTCTTCATCTCACCTCAGAAGCTGGTGAACTGGAGTCAAACCCACACCCGAAGCTGGTCCGCCCAATTCCCCCATGGAAAGCTTCCCCGATTCGACTGTGACCCCCCATTTCTCCAGGGAAAGACGGCTTCAAGCGTGCCACCACGGCTCGGATGCAGCTGGCACATCAGCTGCGGCACATGGGTTTCTCTGCTTCCACCGACAAGGCCTTCATCCGCCCGGTGGCAACGGTGTTGGGGCTCCGAAACTCCATCCAACTTGGGACTCCGTGTTTGAGGATGACTCGTAGGAAAACGCTTTGAGTAGAATCTCGCCGTGTTGCAGCAGAACGATTTGACATCAAAACAGCCTCCTCTCCCTTTGGGGCCTCTCCCAGTCGTGAAAACCATGGGATCAGGAACAGTCTCAGTCTTTCTCCACCTTGGGGGTGGGTTCTCCACCCGTGGTTTCTGCTCTTGGAGAGAAAATGAGAAAGTTGATACCAGTGTTGTTTCTTTTAATGATGCATACATTGGGTTTGTCCTAATACTTGTATCACAGTCGGTGAACCATTATCATTATTTGGGAGAAAGGCCTGCAACCTAACCATCATCATCCACTGTTACTGGTATAATGTGATATTATATATGTACCCTACAAGTCCAACTACCTTGTTTAACTTGGTCGTTAGCATTTC